AATTAGCGTAAGTTGTTTAAGAACAAAAATATTCAGTGAGCCAAATTGACATTTCATTATTCACAAAAGGTGAATCAGATTAAATTAATATACTTTCTAGCTTAACAAGTAAATCAACTTAAATCGGTTCTCAAATTTTAACATTTTTTAGAACTCCATGTCATCCAAATTATTTCCTATAATGAGTTGGAAAATCCCCTAATATTTTGAGAGAGAGAGAGAGAGAGAGAGAGAGAATATTTAACTCTATTAACAAATGAATTGATTAATTACATTTACTTAGCCATTAAGTTGTTTTTTGTTCTGAACATTTTGTTTGTATGTCAATTCAAGATTATAACATTCTCTTGAAATTTTTGGAGCAAATTATTTTTTATATCATATCAAGTTATTAATTTAATAAATGTTTTTAAAATTATTTTTTAATTAATACTTCTGTTTCTTTCAAATATGTGTTAATATACAATGATTACAATCTGTCATATATTTAAATAAGGAGACTTGAAAAAATTAATGTAATTTTAATGTAGTACTATTGTTTTCATGGTTTTGTGATAACCAATGATCATGTCTATGTCAATTTCAATCACATTTTACATGTTGTTAATTTTGAATGGATATCTTTTTCTTACTATTTGACAATTTAAATGTCTTTATCCATCTTTGAAAAAATCATATACAATATCACCAAAGCATCCATCCCTATCATTTATTTAAGTTTTTTAATAATACTTAGTCTTGTGTGTGTATTGATTATAATTCAACAATAATATAAGAACTGATGTCACCATGACATCATCTGTCATAATATTATTTTTTTTAAGTTTAACTCATAATTGTTCACTTTAATTAAGTGGATTTTATAAAAATTATATAAAATAATTAAAATTAAAGTGAGTAAACCAAATTGTTGTTATAAATGAAACTTATTATGATAAATCAATAAATTAAAAAACATCAATTAAAATTTTAAAAATTGTATACTGAAACATAATCGATTAATGATGAAATTAGGTAAATAAGAAACCACAATTATGTTTAGATGGCAGAATTAAGACAAAATGAAAGAACTAATGAAATAAGAACTGCGACAATCTATCACACATCAACTCATTAATTTGTATTATATTGTATGAGTAAAATAATTAGTTTGAATTTAATATAATTAATAATGATTATAATAATATATTATGTAGATGTTTTGTCGTTTTTGAAAACATAATATACAAATCAAATGTTTGTTTAAGTTTAAGGAAACATAATTACTTCTCACTATGTTTTCAGTACATATTATTTGAGAGTGACAAGAATATAATAAAACAAATGTATAATTGTTTTCTCTTCTACTCTTGTTATATTACAATTATAGCATCATTATGTCGAAAGCTCACCCACCAAAAATATATAATACAGTTAATTAGATATTATTTGCATGTCTTCATTGTGATCATGGAATTAAAATTAAATTTGTATTATATAAAATAGAGGGGTTATCATCACTACTATTAGTAGTAGAAAAAATTGCTAAAAATTGGCGTCAGACTTGAATTTGAGAATAAAAATTATATTTTACGGTAATTAAAAAAAATATTTAAATTTTATAAACGTTCGTTTCATTTTGAAAGGAATTAAATTCTTAAAATGTTTATTTTGTAAAATAGAAATATTATTTTAAATAGGAATTGATTTATATAATAATTGTATTTCAAAATTTGATAAGAATTTTACGTTGGTTATACGTATTTATCAATGCAATTAAAAAAATTATAATTATGGAATTCTATTGTAAAAAAAAAACATTAACTTGTTAGTTCTTATTTTAATTAAAGTAGTTAAGAAAGTAAGTCAAATTTTGGTTTTAAAAAAGGAAAGATAAATTGTACAGAAATCAAATTTATTATTTTTTGTTAAAAAAGATTATTACAATAATTAAAAGTAAGTATAAAATAAATTATTAAAACTCTTCAATTTGTGAAAAAGTCAAAGACATGTCATTAAAGTTTTTATAATAGTCATTGCTTTAATAACAATATCTAACAGAGCAGGCCCAACTAATCAAATGGGAAAAATATGCTCCTGCTATTTACACTTCCTGATTACTATTTACATACTCTTCTATTTTGAAAAAGGTGCTTTAGATAAGTGAAGTGTAAACATTAGGAGCCCATAAATAAGATAAAGATAAAATACCTGGGCTTAATCAGGCCCAACTTCAGAATTGAGCTGTATATAAAGAGATTATTTTACTTAGGTTCTTTCTTCCAATACCCAATAATTTATCCGTGTATTCCTATAATTAAATTAAACATCATTTTACTCTATATTATAAATTGATGTTTCCGGAGACACATTCTGGAATATCTATTCATTTCCATAAAAATTCATTTCAAATTGAATGTTCTATAATATGTTTTTTCAAAGGTCAATTCGAAAATACATAAAATTTAGTATTTCATAATGTATTTTTTGGAAAAGCTAATCTAAAATATGGAATACCCAATACGGAATACATTTTCGGAAATATATTCCAGAACACCTAATCTAGGATACATTTTCGAAAACATATTTCATAATGAGTATTCTAAAATTCAACCTCATTTTCATGATATTGTTTTATATTGATCAATTTAAATCTGTTTGTGTAATTTGATTGTAGAAACATGTAATTCATACATAATATTAAGTATTACTTACCAATATGAAAATGTCCAAATGACAAAAAATAATAAATTATAAAATAAAATATTTGACTTAGAATATAAAGATACAGCAACAAGATATTATGGGCAGAGGAATCAAGAACCTTTTCCTTATTGGAAAAGTCTTTCAAATTTGCTTTGGGAATCAATAATTGAGAATGCAAGTGGTTTTGAAAAATTGGATGAGATTGCCTTTCGGGGTATACATGTCTTTGACCCTCATCTACAATTATTTATAATATTGTGATTTTCAGAAGTTTATCATAAAAAATTAAATAGTTAAATATTAATTTTGAATTGTGTAGTCTAGGAATCAATTTTTCTATGATTATTCTAAAATGTATAATTTGAAAGTTTTTTAATAAATTTTGAATAACAGTTTCTAAACATAAGAATTTTGAAAAAAAAAAATCTCATTTCATGTCTGCAAGAAAAAATTATGGGGTGCATAAAGCAACTGCATCATCTCTTAAAATACAATTACATTAGTACTACGAAAAGACGCATAAAAAAACAGCAAATTAATTAAAAGTTTTTCGAGATAAGAGAAAAAAAAAATGGATCCAAACACAAGAAACCAAGCCTATATAAAATAGCAAATTAATTAAAAGTGTGTAGAGTATGAAATAGTAATTGTCTTATGTCTCAATTTTTGCATATTTGTTGATCTGTTCCAAAGCCGTGAGTCCTTTCATCATTCTGTGTCTTTGGTGGGAAACAGAGAAAGGGAAAGTGGAGGGTTCTCTTCTCCTCACTCCATCAACCACACAATGTGTTCTTCCACTTGCTCCCCACCATGTCAACCAATTAATCCATTTCAGATCTCTTCACTTCACTCCAACCTCGTTTTCAACATTTACAGACTCTGTTTTGTTTTTTCAGTATCAATTTCATCTTCATCCATGTTTTCTCATAACAAGCTTTATCACATTATATGTTTTGATGATATAAGATTTATACAGACCCAAATTTAAAGACTCTGGTACTATAGATTTATCGAAATCCCTTCATTAAGTTTTATGTGATTTGTTTTTTTTATGAAAAAAATTAAATTAATCATTATCTGTCAAATCTTGTAAAACTAACACATATATTAACAATGTATTGAAAATAAATTTCTTTAATCTACACACAATATTGTAATGAGAAATAATGTATAAATAATTCTAATAACGCCATCTTCAAAAAAACAATATAAATGTTATATGAGATGTGATAGAAAATATTATAAAAATAAAAAGATAAGATAAAAGTAAACATATAAAAAAAATGGGATGAATTGAAATATGAGAATTAATCAAATTATTTATTTAATTTATGTAAAAATTAATAATTTTTATATTTGAAAATAATTGATCCATGGGACAACTTGCTCACTGCTAAAAATTGGGTCGAGCCCAGAAATTTCGTTCAATTAGGCTTGAAATTGAAAAATATTGTCCATCGAAGGTTGGCCCAAATGAAAATGGAATAAATTTGGTATCATACAAATTATACACAAATGAAAATTTAATATTATATTATCGATTAAAAATCCAAACAACTTGTTAAAAGCTTTCCTGATTGTGTGTATATATATATATATATATATATATATATATATATATATATATATATATAATGTAGTAATTTGAACAATTTATAAGTTTAAAAAAAAAAATCTTAGTATCTGTCATAAATTTTGCTGACACAGAAGAAACTTGGGTTTGGTTCCTCTCTCCTTCATTCCTCCTCTTCACACTGCACACAACGAACGTACAACATTTCAGTGACACACAAACATTCCTTCTAAGTTTGAAGGAACAATAACACCGTTTACAAGAATCCCTGATAGATACCATCATCCATTATAACTGTCAAAACAGAAAGAAAGGTTCGGTCCAAAACATTCCGTATGCTACTCTGGCCGGTAAATTTAGGACAAAGTTAAAAATTCAAGAATCAAAGAACATAACATTCCATGCCCCTTTCTTTTTCTTTCCATCAAAATCAGTAAATAATGAACTTGTGCTGTGTACCCCTTTATGGACACAATTTTATACTTTATATAATAACAACATAGCTGTAAATACAGACTCATTGTTCTACTTTTCCCTTGCATTTCAGAAGCGAGGACCATGACCAGGTTATTAAGAAACACAATTGATGTTCCTTTTCTCTATTTCAGCAGAGAAATCAATTGGATAAAGAACATTCATTAGCATCCATCAAGCAAGACAAATTAGTGGTAATTAGTTTTTAATTTGTCGTTACTATTAATTTAATTTCTGAGATTCTAAGGTTAACTAGATTGGCCTTTGAATGGTGCACCACAATGCTATGGATTTGGAGGACAGGTTGGAGCCAATCAATTTGTGAGTGAAGGAGAGGTTGAATAGAGGCCAAAATGGCTTGACTAAAATCCACCTCACCACAAACATATTATATTATTATTATTATTATTATTATTATTATTATTATTATTATTATTATTATTATTATTATTATTATTTTGTGTTTGGTATAGATATGGAAGAAGAGAAAGTGGGTTACAACGAGAAAGGTTGGTCTTTTGGTCTTTGACATTTCATTGGAGACAGCCTATGTGCCCTACTACTGTTGTGGGCACCCACTAGCAGCTTTTCTGTCTCCTTATTTTTTTTTTTATTGTTGTTACTCTCTCTTCTTCACCACACCCAACAAGCAGGCAACTAAGTTTCCTTGGCATATAAATGTTGTCTTGTAAGAGCGTTTCTTTTTCGTTTCACTCCTTCGACAGCAATGATGTTTTTCTGTTAGGGGCGATGTGAAGTGTTGTGGAATCTGAGGAGTGTGTTGTTGTTGTGAATGTAGAAAAGTAACAATTATAGCATCAGAAAAATTAAAACAAAACAAAACAAAAACCATTCCTTAAAGTTTAGAAGGACTAGCACGAATAGAATCATGAGTGCACGAGTGTTTTCATTGATGGGTTTTTAGAAGAAGAAACAGCTTCTTTTCCAACCTTTATTATTAACCGTTTCTTCTTTTCTTTCTCCCCTCTCATTGTCTTTGGATTTTGTGTTTTGTTCTTTTTTTGGATTTGTATTTGGGATTTTTGTGTTACTTGCTTCTATAGGGAAAAATTCTTGTATTTGATATTTCTTCAATGTCTCAACAAAGGCAAGCTCAGATGGTGGGTGGAAACAACCAGGAGCAATATAATGACACAACTTTTACCAAAATCTTTGTTGGAGGGTTGGCTTGGGAGACTCAGAGGGACACAATGAAAAGATATTTTGAGCAGTTTGGAGAGATCTTGGAGGCTGTTGTGATCACAGATAAGAACACTGGGAGATCCAAGGGTTATGGCTTTGTAAGTTTTCTCCTACCTTCTGGATTTTGTTTATTCCGTTCATGATTGTACTTGCATGATCTTGAACAATGAGTCTATGATTTGTTGTTTTCCAAGGTCACATTTAAGGATCCTGAGGCAGCCATGAGAGCATGTCAGAACCCATCTCCAGTTATTGATGGGAGGAGGGCTAACTGCAATCTTGCTTCTCTTGGTGCAAACAAGAACCGGCCACCAACTTTTCAGCATGGTCTCATTCCTTACATTCTGCTTTATCTAATTTGTTCTTCTTCTTCTTCTTTTTCTCATAATGATTTATCCGTTTTTCCTAAATTAAGATATCAGATTAGGTGTTTTTAACTGCAGCAATGTTATTTTTGTTGATTTTACTTTGCAACTTTTGCAAACTAGTTTGAGTTTCGTGGTTGTTTCATCTTGATAGATTTAACTCATCCTAGGCAAGAAGGTACCACCTTCAATGGCTGCTTATTTAATAAATGTAAAACAAAATTGTGTGTTATAAGAGAAGAAAGGATTGAAATGCAAACTCACATTGTAGGTGCAGGAAGGTTCAGGCCACCACCTGGACTAGTGACATCACCTGCTTATCATGGTTCTTCATCTTCTACTACATTTTTCCATCAACCCCCTAGGCAATACACATTTCCTTATTCAGCATACGGGTAACATAAATGTGTTATGAGGATACATGGTCTTTTTTTATGTTAATTATTATTTTGCATTTCTTCCAATTTTGTCATTTTCTCTGATGTCCATTCTATCTATTGACAGATATTCTGGATATTCACAAGACACCTTGTATCCTACGGTAGGTGTATAAAGTCAAGCAACTATATTAAATTTATTTTCCTGCATTATTATGGTACACTCTTATTCTTATGTGTAAACTATTGCAGAACTATTATAATGTGTATGGAGTTCAGCAATTTTCAGCTTACTACCCATCTGCTGGAGCTTCTGGTGCAGTAGGGTTGATCCATAATATCTACCCCTTTTATGGTCAATATGCACAGAGTATCCAGGCTCATGGTTTTGGGGTTCAATACCCTCAAATGGCACAGTTTCCATTTTTGCCTCAGCATTATGGCTCCACTGGGATATTGTCATATCCTTCTTCTGTAGCAGTGCCAACAACTAGTGCAGGTGATATGTCTAATGCAAAAACTTATTATTTCTTGTTGGCATTGTTATCTTTGCTCTTTAGCAATCCTGTCATAAAAAAGACATTGATGGCTAAAATGTGACACTTTCAGGAACTGCAACCACAACTACAACACCAACAACATCATCAGGTGTGACAGCAACAGTGGCTGGTAGTTCACAAGCCTCACAAGCAGCTTCTGAACAAAATTCTACATCTACAAAGATACAGAACACGGAAGGCTAACCACATCATCAAAAGCTGAATTCAAAATACAAGAGATTTGTTAGATAAAGCTTGTGTGTCCCTAACCGACCTTAAGCATTTCTCATTTTTCATCATGACAAAACTCAAAAGTCATCATCATCATACATGTTTGTTTTAGGAAAATAGGTTTTATTTCATTTTTTAAGTAGCTTGTAGGAGTAGGGGAAGATCATATTCATTCATGTATTCAGCATTGGGTAGAATCTAACTATTTGAGCTTTGGATTCTACCTTTTAGAGTAATTCAACAATAGGTTATTATTATCACTGTTATGTCTTGGGTGATGGGAGCATCCAATGACATAGTCCTTTGTTTATAGTGCAGTAGATGGTTTCAAAAGATCATTTTATATCTTTTGAACCCTTTGATTGGCTGGTCAAATAGGAAGACGACATTGAGCTTGGATGGCTCAATAGGCTAGCATGTATTTTATTTTTATTTTTCTCTTGCCATTCATGATTGATTTTAGTTTTTACTTCAAGATAGGATTAGTCCAAAAGAAAAACACAACGTCTATTGTTTCTCTCCTTTTTCACATATAATCATGGTTTTACCATTCATCTTTCGCTGTCACTTTGCATTCCTTTTGTTATAGATAAAGATTATTCTTCTTTTGCATCAATTAAGTGTCCTTTACTCTCTGTACAACTGCAAACGTATATGGAATCCAAGGGAACTCTCATGTGTGGTGTCAATAGTTGTTGGTACCTTTCCCATACTTTTTTAAGCATATTATTAATATATGAGGATGGGGTGATTGCTATCACTTTTCTTCACCCATTTTCAATTCTAGTTCATGGCTGAAATTTCTTCTATCAATTTACTTTCATGTTTCCCAAAATTGCCCTCAGATGACTCAATTCATGCTTCCATCTATCACTTCTCTGGGTGACTGCCAACTAATAATACCCATCTTCGAAATCCAGGTCAAATTTAGTAGAACTTAAACTCTAAGCCCAACATCTTTATCATTTAATCAACCAAATAATTTTCTCTAATTTTCTAAAAGAAAACTATATAACCATCTCAGTAGACAAAAACCAAACTATCTGGTCTTGGTAAGGTTAAATCGGTTTGATTTCGGCAAATAAATATTTTAAAATTATGCCACCTTAAAATTATTATATTGTTAAAGCAAATTACACTAATATTTTCTATAATTTAAGATGCTATTTTTTTTTAAATTATACAATTTTTTATTTAAAAATATTAAACATAATCCATTTTCACATTTGCTCTCTTAAATTTTGAAAAATTACGTTTACACTAATAATTTTATTTAAGGATTCCAGTATATTGATGAAAAAAATAAAGATGTACATATAATTTTACAAAATATGAGGAAATATCATTATAGTTTAATCTGTATTTTAATTAGTACGGGCCTTTTTCCTCGTAAAAATCAACTCGTACCTTCTCAAGGGCATTTCTAAATCAAATTTTTATTTCAAAAATATAGTTTTTTTAAGACTGAAAAAGAAATTAAAGTACAGAGAAATAAATGTTATGTTTATTAAGAGTTAATTTTTTGTTAAAAGTAAAAGTATTTAAATACATAAAAATAATGAAGGAAAATTACGAAGAAATTTACTTTTCCTATTAAGAGTGATTTTTTTTTAATAATAGAAATAGAAACGTTGGAATTTTTCCTTCATAATTTTTATTTCTTTTTTCAAATACGTTAAAATTATAGTGAATTTGTTAAGGCCTTAATTTTCTTAAAATATTCTTACATTCCTCTGTTCTTTTAAGTGGATGCAGGCCTTTTTTGTTTCAAAAACATTATTTGGAGGCCTTATTAAGCCCAGTATTAGCAGTTATGTTAAGAAGAAAACCCATGTAAGCAAGGCCCAGTAACATTTCACTGTGGATTTGACATTACGTTTTCTTCCACAAACATGGTGGGGTCACTGGTAAGGGAACTAACAGAGCAAGAAAGAAAACCAAAATAATAAAATATTTATGTTATTTCATTAAAACTATAACATTATTGGACACTGATAACTATAATTATTTTTATTCAGTCACCATGTCACTTGTCAGACAATTGTTTCTTCCAATTTTTTCTTCATGTTTATACCACAAATCTGAAGTTATTTATTTATGCCTAATTATTTTTAAAATAAAATAAACTAAACTTATTTTATTGTATTTTATTAAAAAATACCTGAATAATGTGATCTTTTTACTTGTTATTTTTGTATGCACAATTTGCACAACCCTTAAAAAATCTCTTATTTGTTTGTTTTTCATATAAAGTAAATTTAGATTTCTTTTTAAAGAAATTCTATCTTTTATTTTTATTATAAAAGCATACCATCAAGCACTGTTTGTGATGTGCCAGAATAATATCCCCACAATATTAATATTTGTGATGGAAGCATCTTGCTTTGTAAATAGGAAACTATTTTGTCCAGCCACAAATGCTTGCAAATGACTTCATCCTCCAAACAAAGGAAGACAATTTCTAGTGTTCCTTCCTCTGCCTCACAATCACCACATATAAAACAAACTAATTTATTCAAGTGCATGCTTGATACCATTAGAATCCTTTGCAGCAAGACAAAACAATTCATACAATGTTGTAATCCTTGTCTCTTTGAATCTTTGTTTTTTATTTTATAAAACTAATCTTAAATGAGACATGCACACCAATTTTTTTTTACTTTGAAAATAGTTTTAGTATTGTTTTATACATCACAAACATTTTTGACAAAAAAAGAACGTGGTTTTTAAATACTCACATGAAAAGGTGCCTTGAATTGAGATCATTGGTGTAGAGAATCTAGAAGGGTTTGACTGGTCTTAGGGGTGAGCACTTAGTTGTGCAGTTGAAGCATGAATGATGAAGTGGAAGTGGACAGCATGAAGCTTGGTTAAGGATTAAGACAATAGTTTCATTGATATTTGTGTCATCTGATTTTGCTGCAAAAGATGCAATTTTTTTTTTTTTTTTAACCAAGTAAGGCCACATGATGATGCATGTTCCTAAGAGACTCCACCATCTGCTCACACCACGTGACACCATGAGAGAGTACCTCAGTTGCCTCATATTTTAACTATCCAAAACCTAATAATTTACACCCAAAAAGAAATACTCACCTTTTCTGAATCCATTATAGAAAAAGCCACTTTTGGCTTCTCTCTTCCCCACCCCTCAACTTGCTTTTATATCCCTCCCTAACTTCCCTTGCATTACATAATTTACATTGCATCAATCCATTGCTTTATTCTGCTACTTTCAATTATTATTCACTAACATTCAAAAGCTTGAGGTAGCTTCTGACACTCCCACTTTTGTCTATCCATGCCACAAAAATCCATAAGCCTTGCCCATTTAGATTAATCTTCTTACAAATTAATATTCTTTATAGCCTGCTCCTCTCACACACAGCCTGTCTCTCACTGCTGCTTATACAATTCCATTGGGTAACCATGTGCCACTCAACATCATCTTTAACCACATTCTCTGTCGCACTATTTCATTTTCTGGTTCTTTTGGTCAAAACAATTTCATACTTACTCCTTATCCAACATAACATAAAAATTAAATAAACAGTATGAGTATGTGTCTGTGTTTTAATTTTTTTTATTTGGATTAGTTATAACTCAATTATGGAATAAGAGCTATATGTCATTTTATGTATCTTTCAATTTTTAGAATGCGACTTGTTAAATAAAGTTTATAAGAATAAACATTTTCATGTGGCTCTATACTAATTTATTTTATTTTCAGATATTGAACACAGATAAACTATTATTATTTATACATACTATTCAACTGAAAACATTCACAATTTTTATCTTAATTTTATGAGTTTATAGTTTAAGTACACAATACATAAACTTTCTTCATTAAATGAAATGGATGAAGTTAATGACTTACATAACATTATATGTCTAAGATTTGATAGTCTTTCTAAGGTTTTTAAAAATGAGCTAGAGTCCATATTATTTAAGTAGATTTATTGAATTTGATGTCAAGTTTTTATTATTTATTGATAAAAAAAAAATTCGATGTTCTCCTTTTCAAATTTCTTAGGAGTGATAATAGAGACAATATTTTGTCTTAGTTAAAAACGATAAAATTGATGATAAATACTTTATAATGGAAATCTTATTTATGTTGTCACTCATATTTCATGTTTATATAATAAATATCACTTTATTTATTTTATTGGGAAATCTTGTCAAAGTTAATTTAACTTTAATTGACCGTAATTTTTTATTTTTTACACATTAAATTTTGTTTGAACTAAAGTTTATATAAACTTAAATTAAGATGACAATTATTTTACAAAACTTTGTGTTTAATTTTATTTTAAACTAAACTTCAAGATAAAATTGCAATAAAAGTCAGATTAAAACCAAACTTATCTGAAATCCATATAAAATCCTTGTTTAGTTTTAATTTTTAAGTATATTTTTAAATCGTCAAACTAAAAACAAAACCTGCACACAGTTTATTGACATTCAGCGACCTTATGACAATATGTAATATGATTTAAAATCGAATTTAATTTAACTCTAAAAATTAAAATTAAAATATAAATTATTTATCTATTTATATACATTCATTACAAACAATGAAGCTGAAATTAATTAAACCGTAATTGAATCGTGGGGCACGTTACACGTAATTTATTACTTAGAATTGTAAATGAGGGGTGTCTCAGATATTTCACTCACGACTGAACCATGAGGAGGACAAGGTTACTGTAGCATTGCTCATCTGTGTTGTTGTGTACTTGTTAAAAATAATAACAAAGACTGAACAAAGAGCTCCATTAGTGTGGTGTTTGCCTTGTTTTGCTTCTGCTTGGTTTTCCTTCTGTCTATTTCCCCCAGACAAGGATAAAGGAGGTTGAGTTGAGCCTCAACCTCTCTTCTGTCTTTAAATCCTCATCACAAGTTAATTTCTGGCTGTTTCTGAAGGGTGTTTTTAGCTGTTCAAGCTGTAAATGCCGCTGAGATAGATTTACATGGGGAAGAAGGGAAGTGGTAGTTCATGGTTAACTGCTGTCAAAAGGGCTTTCAGATCTCCAACCAAAGACAGTGATAAAAGGAGTGGCAGAAGAAGAGAAGACTGTGATCAAGAAGAAGACGAAGAAAAGGTTCTTTTGTGTGTGTGTGCGTGTGCGCGCGCGTGCGTGTGTTTTTCATTTTTCCTTTCTTTGCAGATTAATTTAATCTTAGTTCTTAGATCATGAGAATGAGCATTTAGCACTGTTCTGTTTTAATTTTGCAGAAAAGGGAAAAAAGAAGATGGATTTTCAGGAAGACCCACATGAGTCATGAAGGAGTGAACAGCAACAGCACTCAACAAAAGTTGAAGCATGATGTGGCGGCAGCTAGTGGGGGTTCAAGGACAGACCAGGATCAGAAGCATGCACTTGCGGTGGCGGTGGCCACCGCAGAAGCCGCCATGGCCACCGCTCAGGCGGCGGTGGAGGTGGCAAGGTTGACCAAACCTGCTAGCCATGCAAAGGAGCATTATGCTGCTGTTGTGATCCAAACTGCTTTCAGAGGGTATCTGGTGAGCCCTTAACAGATCTAATTGCAAAAATGTCAAGTTTTGGTGAGGAGTTACCAGGGTAAATTAATTACTTAATTAATCTGAATGATTTTTGTCTTTTTTTTTTTTTTTTTTAAGGCAAGAAGAGCACTTCGTGCACTAAAGGGGTTGGTGAAGTTGCAAGCTTTGGTTAGGGGTCACAATGTTAGGAAGCAGGCAAAGATGACTCTTAGATGCATGCAGGCTTTGGTTAGAGTTCAGGCAAGGGTCCTTGACCAGCGCATAAGGTCTTCACTTGACGGTAGCAGAAAATCCACTTTCAGTGATACCGCCAGTGTTTGGGACTCGCGGTATCTTCAGGATATTTCAGATAGGAAATCAATAGTAAGTGAGAGGCTACTTATTTAAGCCATCATTACTGACCAGTGATCAAACTTTGTGTACTTTTTCTTGCTTTAAGAATCAATAGTTATGTTTGAAAACCAGGAAAGAAAAAAGTACCTTTTGTTTACAAAAAGCAAAGGAATAGTCCTCGTTTTCATATTCTTAATCAACCAACAGTTGGGAAAGGGGGGTTTCTATGTTCTCTTTGTTTGAATTGTTTGTTGTGGTTGTTTTGGTAGTCAAGAGAGGGGAGCAGCATTGCAGATGACTGGGATGAACGTCCTCACACAGTTGAAGAAGTGAAGGCTATGTTGCAGCAGAGGAAGGAAGCTGCAATGAAGAGGGACAAGAACTTGTCCCAAGCCTTTTCCCATCAGGTTTTGATCCTCTTCAAGTGTGTTTTACTAAGTCTTGAAATGGAATTAATTTCCTGGACTTGGTTCAGTGCATTGATTGTGACGTGCTTTTATTGATTCTTGAAATTGAATTAATTTCATTGACTTAGTTCGGTAACTGATTGTGAAGTGCGTTTAATTGATTCATGAAATTGAATTAACATCCTTGACTTGGACCGGTTGAATGATTGTGATGCATAGATTTGGAGGAATGGCAGGACATCATCAATTGGAAATGAAGACGAGTTGGAAGAGAGACCAAAATGGCTAGATCGGTGGATGGCCACAAAGCCATGGGAGAATAGAGGAAGGGCTTCAACTGATCAAAGAGACCCCATTAAAACTGTGGAGATTGACACCTCTCAGCCTTATTCATATCTAGGGACCAATTACAGAAGATCACATCCAAATTATCAATATAACCCAAACCACCATCAACCACAAAGGCATTCCATTGCTTCCCCACTCCATAGATCTCTCCAAAATGGATCCCTTCACCAATCCCCTGCAACCCCTTCTCCTGCCAAATCAAGGCCTATCCAAGTTCGGTCAGCGAGCCCCAGATGCGTTAGAGAAGACAGAAACTACCCCACCTCCCAAACACCAAGCTTGAGGTCCAACTACCACTATACTGGAAACTTGTACCAAAATGCAAGGGCTGTTGGAACCGGAACTAGTAGTGGTGGTGCTACATTGCCTAATTACATGGCGGCAACAGAGTCTGCAAAGGCTCGAATTCGGTCACAAAGCGCCCCGAGGCAGAGGCCATCCACACCAGAGAGGGACAGGGTTGGATCAGCAAAGAAAAGGCTTTCTTTTCCTGCTCCTGACCCTTATAGCGTTGGAGTGAGTTATGGAAATTACGGGCACAGTTTAAGGAGTCCAAGCTTCAAGAGTGTGAGTGGATCACACTTTGGGTTGGAGCAGCAGTCAAACTACTCCTCTTGCTGCACTGAGAGTGTTGGTGGTGGTGAGGTTTCTCCTTCTTCAACTGGTGACCTTAGGAGGTGGTTGAGATGATTTGTTGCATACTTTAATGAGAAGAAACATGACCGGACCCATTAGGTCATGGTCATTCACTTCATGATTTTATTTATTTGGGCTTTTGTGATGCTAGAGTTAATTTTAGTTTAACCCTTTCTCACCCCAAAAAGAAAGTTATTTACCCCGGGTGACCTGAATCTGATGTTAGGAGCAGAGAAGCAAGTACTTTTTCTTGCTAGGAAACTCAGAACAATTTAATGTGTTCGTTTATCATTCGTTTTTCATACTTTTGTTAAGATGCCAAGATAAAAAGTGACCCGTATGTGGTGGCCTACCTCACTTGGGATGTTGTGTTGATGTTGAAAGAATTGCCTAGACCATCTGAATAGCTTTTAATGGACTGTCCTGTCACAATAGCATGTAATATTTCGCATTTTAGCATTGCCTTCAGTTAGCAAATGTACAACCCCATTTCCTTTCATTGTTTTCTTCTAATCAAATGGATAAATTAAACATTGCTTGCAAGAGCAAAGCATATAATAATTTTATATACACTTCACATAGTTAGCAGATACGTGAGTCTTGGTCACGTCATATTCTCTAACCTTTATTACCCCACATGACTAACTGATGTTCTGTCTATCATGCTACGTACTTCATCTGTGTTACATGTCAATTCTGAAATGTGAAAGTGAAACAAATTTATTTGAACTCCTTTGTTCAGCACATTATCAGAATGTATGTATAAGTCCACCCATTTGGAAGTATGATTAAAATATGATTACATGCATATCTAATGATGATAATTAACTATGACACGAAAAAACTTCCCTGCATGTGAAGGAGGAGATCAATACTAACAAAATAATAAGGATATCAACAAAGAATGATTTGCTCAGGTATAGTGATGTTTGCAGTATTGTTTGCTCTCGGTCATGAGATCTTTTTCAGGTTGCTGCATGACCTGCAGCATGAAAAGGTAAAAGCAGATACGCTTGGGCATTTAGGCTTTGTTTGGATGGAGTGATTTGAGAGAGTGGAAATGAGGGAGTGGAAAAGGAGGGATTTGAAGAGAAATGGAGATGAATGTAAAGTGAAAGGAAAGTTTATGGGAAATTGTGAATGATTTGATTGATATGAGATATAAAAATTATAATTTTATGTTGATTATTTAAGAAAATTACCATTTTACCCTTTGTATAAAATAAGGTTCAATTCAAATGATTATAAATATAAAATTTTAATTAATTATCCATATTTTAACATTGATTATATATTTAAAAGAAAAAACAAAATTAAAAGTGTTTGTAATTGGAAACAAATTTAAAAAATTAACTTTTTTTAGATAGATATTAAAAATTATATAAATAAACAATTACAAAATTATGTACATTGCATATCCATATTCAAAAAATGTTGACATATTAAATAAAATATTTGACTAATAATTAAATAATTATAAAATATAAAATAATAATTAATATTGACTGATAATAACAAATAATTATGAAAACTAATAATATAATTGTACATTATTATTTAAAACAAATATAAAATACAGTGAAAATAGAATAATAATTAAAGGAAAGATTACTAAAATTATAAATCTATGCACACTAATGCTCTTCAAACAAATAATTATAATCTTATCCATCTTTTGCAGTCAAGTCCTCCAGTTCAGATCATTCAATCACCTCCATTCAAGAACATGAACAACTGGGAGAGACGAAGATGTGAGGGCAAGCCAAAAAGTCGTCTAACATGTGATGGGTGAGTACACAAATGATTATAACACTGAAGCATAAGTTGCTCGTCATTTAGGTACAAGTTTTCAAATGATCGATTATTTTGCCAAAATGATCGATCACTTTTCCAAAACCTCGACACTTTAGATAGCGGTTCACCTGGAACCCCTATCATATGTTAACATATGATAGCGGTTCCAGAATAACTGCTATCTAAAGGCTCCAGAATTTGAATTTATTTTAATGTATAATTATATATATATATATATATATATATACATATATATCATATTTAAAATATAATTTATATTAATTACTATAATATAAAATATAGATTCCACAATATTACTAAAATTTATATATATATTATAGAAATGAAAATAAATTATATTTGAGAATATATAATTTTGATAGAAAATTATATATAATTTAACATTTTGAATTCTGAAAGGTTTTCTCTAATAACAAATTAAAAAACATAATATTCAAAAAAAATATTTTAAGATTCAGTCTCAGGGTTGTATTTCGCTCGAGCGATTACACTCTCGCTCGAGCGAAATAACATCCTGATCGATCATAATTTGAAATGATCGATCATAATTGGAGGATATCATAGCGGTTCCTCTGTAACCGCTATTTAAAGTATATCTTAGATAGCGGTTATGGTTTAACCGCTATTACAAGTTATATTTCGCTTGAGCGACATTAAACTCGCTCGAGCGAAGACACCTGCACATAATTTTCATCCTCCGGTTGTTTTTCGCTTGAGCGAAATTGATCTCGCTCGAGCGACTAGCAAAGTATGATCTCGCTCGATTTATTTTAATCGATTAAAACCACTTTGAAAGTCAGGATGATCGATCAGAATGTAATTATGACCGATCAGAGTTTGTTATGATCGATCAAAATTGAATTATGACCGATCAGACTTATTTCAATCGATTAAAACAAATTTCAATCGATTAGAATGACTTGAAAATTTTTGTACAGAGTTTCAATCGATTAAAACGAATTTCAATCGATTAAAATGACTTGGAAAAAATTCTGTGCAGGTTTTTAATCGATTAAAACTTCTTTGTATCAGTTAAAATAACTTGAAAAGTGTTATAAGAAAGTTTTAAACTGAATCAATCGATTAAACCGCGAATCAATCGATTAAATCACTCTTAGAAAATGTTTGTAAAAAGTTTTAACTGATAAAAACTTGGTCGTATCAGCTAAAACAATTCTGTTAAAGAACAAGAACGCATTAATGGGTTGAAATGACTTTTAACAGATTATAACGGCTATTTCAACAGATTAAAACAAATTTTGAACAGATTAATTAATGCAGTTTTTTCTGAAAACTCTTTTATAAACAGAATTGCTTGGAACTTTTATCATATCAGTGTTCTTAAAGAATGGTTCTTAAAGTGTTCCATCAACAGAATTGCTTGGAACAGGTTAAGGTTTAACCTCTATTATAAGCTCCCTTTAAGAATGGTTCTTAAAGTGTTCCATCAACTCCCTGCTGCTTCTCAATTCCTGATTGAATCAGTGCCAGAGTCGGATTAAAGAAAGTAGAGTCGGATGTTATTGCCTTTGCCCCCACGCCAGCTTGCTCTCTAATCCCACTGCTGATTGGATTGAACTGAAAAAAGCGGAGCTTAGGTAGGCTACAGCAACTCTCAAAGCGTGAGAGTTGAGTCTCGGGTTGCATTTCGCTCGAGCGACTATATCTCGCTCGAGCGAAAAACGATACTGATCGATTAGATTTTTGAAATGATCGATCATAACTGGAGGATATAATAGCGGTTCCTCTGTAACCGCTATCTAAAGTGTATATTAGATAGCGGTTCCAGTGGAACCGCTATCATATACAACCAAATTTTTAATTTCTTCAGTCTCGGGGTTGTGTTTCGCTTGAGCGACTATATCTCGCTCGAGCGAAATATGATTCTGATCGATTAGATTTAGGTAATGATCGATCATAATTGGAGGATATAATAGCGGTTCCTCTGTAACCGCTATCTAAAGTGTATATTAGATAGCGGTTCCAGTGGAACCGCTATCATATACAACCATATTTTAATTTCTTCAGTCTCGGGTTGTGTTTCGCTTGAGCGACTATGTCTCGCTCGAGCGAAATATTGGAGGATATAATAGCGGTTCCTCTGTAAGCGCTATCTTAAGTGATATATAATAGCGTTTAAGATTTAACCGCTATTAGAAGTGATATATAATAGCGGTTATGTTTTAACCGCTATTAGAAGTGATATATAATAGCGGTTAAGTTTTAACCGCTATTACAAGTGCTGTTATAATAGCGGTTAAGATTTAACCGCTATCATATATTGCAGGGTAACAGCGACTTTTCATTACTTTCATCTCTTTTCTTCGCACCTCAGCGAAGAAACTCTCTCTCTCATCTCCCCCTTTTCCTCGCCTGCATTTCGTCGCAAATCAGTTCAACCAAACGTGGGTGAATCTCGTGTTTCTGTCTTCGTGAACAGTATTTCGTCGCAAATCAGTTCAAACAAACAAGGGCTTAATGAGAAAAGATGATGAACTGTGTCTTAACCTCAGAATCTTGTATTCCCTAACTCTTGTGCTTTATGTAGTGTTATCAATCAACTTTTTGTGCTGTTTTGCGAAACTTTGAGAGCATCACTAGCAGAAGTAATTTGGTGGGTTACTAAGGTCAAAGAATTGTTTTTAACTTAGTTTATTTTTGTTATCATTAAGTATGGGTTTGGATTTCAGATGGATTCAATTGAACATATTTTCAATTCATGTGGGTTTTCCAACTTTTGCATTCAATATCATATGAACAGATATCAAAACACATCCTATATGAGTGTGTATTTTCTAGTGAGCTCTTATGATTCAAATAACATCTGAGATTGTTGAACAGTAACAGGTAATTTGTGAGATCTATTTTCAAAAATGGATATAATTTTTTTTTAATAATTGTGAGTTAATATAATATTTCAAAGTAAAAAATGTTAAAATAAGAGTTAGTAAAAGATGATGTTTACTGGTGGACATGGTCTGAACATATAATTGCATGGTTACAGAGGAGTCCAGCTGGACAGACTTTTGTTCACTGAAACTCATAATCAGAGGTCTCTTGGAATTATGAGCTGTTTGGGGTCCCATCTTACTGAACACTACCACACTACTGGTTAGATGCTTGCTAGAAGAAACTTATAGGCTTTATCTAATATTGCAGATTCTGTTGTTACACAAATAAAAAGTCATGCTTGGAATTGAAACAACTACTACTATTGCTAAGTCTACTACTATTACTAA